CTGGATTTCCAAAAATCTTTTGTCAGAGTCCCTAAACAAAAGCTTTTAAGACAATTAAGCATCCACTGAGTAAGAGTGAAAGTCCTTACCTTTACAGTAAAAAAAGAGAGTAGAAATAAATAATGTCTGCAGTGGAGGTAAGTTATCAATAGAGTTCTGCAGTGATCTGTGCTGAGACCTGTGTTATTTCACAGTATTCATAAATGACCTGGCAAACAGCTCAGAACTGAGATGATAGTAAATGTAGCTGTAATGATAGATACGTGGCATAGTGTGGAATTCCAGAAGGACCTTATGAAATCAAGTAGCAATAAAACAGCAAATAATGATCAAGGTAGATAAATATAAGGAAAAATCAGTTGCTATTCAGGACAGAGATCTTGGTGTTATGATGGATAATAAACTGTCCCTGTTCAGTACCAGTCAAAGAAGCAAATCAACATTGGGAATTACTAGAAAAGGATAAGGAATTAGCAGAAAACATCCATCCTGTGTAATCAATGCATGGTTCACTCATACTTCTTGAATCTTAAATAGCAAAGAGACAACAGAGAAGGATTTTTTTTGGTGTCTCCTCCATCTCTTCCAATAGCAACACAGAATGAAACGAGATGTGTAGGAGTCAAGTTCAAAGCAAGAGTTCTTCAAGCAAGAGAAGGCTGAGTTGTGGAACTTGCTGCCAAAGGTGTTGAGGGTGCAAAGGGCTTAAACAGGTTCAGGGGTGCAATGGACAAGTACCTGAAACTGAGACTCACTCCAGGTTACCGAACAGGCATATTCTGAGCTGCAAAGAGTCGGAAGCTGAAAGAGCACTAAGAAGTATTGCATATGCTTGCCCTTGTCTTACTCCAAGCAGGTCAATGCTGGCTTAGAAGAACCCTGACACAATATGACTGTTCTTCTATGCAAACACATAGGCACTGAAGATTTCAAAATGAAGGCAGAAAGAAACTATTTATCTTTGGTTATACAAACTGATTTTTGTAGCATTACTTTCACCTTCTCTTCTCATATATGAACTTCCAATAAGTCAGCTTTCTTTCTGAATAGAAAAAGGTATAACCAGGGAATATGCTTGAATTTTGAATTTTTCAATTCAGTCTGTAACTCAGCAGGTGGAAAGAAGTCACTTTGCACTTCATGTGATAACCACCAGCATCTATTTTAGACAAGAGGGACTGAATAGAAGTCACAGCATGAAAAGTAGACAAAAGTGAATATGATGGGGAAGAAAACAATAGCTCCTACCTGGACTGTTTACACTGAAATGTCAGCATTCAGGAATATCCTATAGTTCCTTGTTCTGCCCGCATCACTTTCACCAGAGATACACAAGTGTATGCATAACTGCAGTGTGAAAAGTTCACTTGTGAACTAGTGACTTTGATGGGGATCATACAGTGGAACATTTCAGAAGAAAAACATTGTGAAGAGGAGCCAAAGGAGATGCTATTGTAAAGTTACATAGCACCAGAAGCACAGCCAATGGAAGCTGATTTTATTTACTAGAGGAAAAGGAATCAGTTGATTCAGAAACAAGGATGTGTTTTTGTTTAAACACTCAGCAAGGCTACTCTTTTAGTAAAATATTTTGCTTTTTGGCTATTTAGGAAAAGAATGTCTTAAGAATGTCATCCACAAAAGCAGAAATACCTTTTCTGTGTAAGCAGTTTGTTAGCCCAGTTGTAATGCTCTCCCCAGCAGGACAGGAAAGGCACAAATGAGGCTGGAATTCCTCAGTCTAGGACACAGCACGTTGTGCTCGACTGTCCATAAACCTTTCTGTTCCCAAACCAACAACATTGGCATAAGAGACACACTAAGTACCAGTACGCTTGGTAACTGTCAGAACTTGTTACCTATATCTTCGTCTCATGGAAGCAAACAGTTGGGGACTGTTCTCTGATCCTGAGACCAGGTAGCAAGGTCTGCTGCATACAGCCTACACCAGAGCTCAGTTCAGGTCTTCTCTGTGCACTACAATGTCCCTGAAGCTCTAGGACAACAATTCACTTTTATGTGCTTGTTCCAGGTGTTTTGAAATAAAACCACGGCTATTGTGTTATGGGCTGCAAGAGCATTACAGCCTGCAGCATGAAACAGAGTTCATATTTCAAGTCCTAGGGTGCAGAAAAAGACCATAGGGGATACCTGAGGGTTCAAAATCTGCCGGAAGAGTTCTGGAGACATATGAAGGGTGGAAAGAGCCAAAGCTGATTCAGCCTTGTTCATAGTGTTTAATGGGAGAAGTATTTGGTACATGCAATCCCACAATCACGCCTGGGATCTTAAAGAGTGCCTAATGGACAGTTGGGATCCATTGTACGAGACTGCTTCCTCGTCAGTTTTATTTAGAAAACCAGATGTAGCCATTGATGTGCTCAGCATATGTCCTGGTATGGCCCCAGTATATTTTGCAGATTTGCTCTGATTTGTGCTTGAGTTTCTCCTCACCAGACTACCAGAAATGAAGGCTAGTGACACCTTTATCTGATCATTTGACTGATGTCACTAGATTGCCTGCTACTCTAAAATTCATGCCTAAAAGAAACTGATAATTTGAACTACAGATACAGCTGCATTTCTACATGCTCCTCCATCACCTGACTTCAAGATCATTTTTGATGATCTTTCTCAGGCTAGTGGAAGGTCTAAGATCCCTCTGAGAAGCGAAGTTGAAATATAAATTGAATACATCACGCCCAGCATATAAAGCTCTTTTTTGTTCTGTGGTCTTTCTAATTCTCAGCCTGACTTACAAAACTGAGATGTATAACGCCAGGGATCAGCCTAGAACTTTGGCCTGTTGTGCATTGTCTGTGAAATTCTTTCTTCCCTTTTACTATTTCTTAGTGCTGCGGCAGATGAATGAGTGGATGTATTATGTGCGTATATGTGTGTCTGTCATCCTCAGTGAGTGTGTCTGCTTCTGTCCTTGACTTACTTTTCTTCTTTCTTCATATTTCTTTTTTCTTCCTTATTACAATATCTCAGTTCTAGTCAGACCCTCTCTGTTCAACACTTCTTTTATTCCTAAAACACTCATAATGCTATTCAGAGAATATCTGTACAGAAGGAATAGACAGAATACAAACAGAGTGCTTACCACTGTGTAAATGATGTGCTCCCTGAGATATTTTCATGCACTGCACGCACTGTTGTCCTTCACTTAAATTATGAAATAAAAAGAAATGTATCTACCTTTCTTTTGAATTCTTGAAATAAGTTTGAGCAATTATTCCTGTATATTTGTCTTGTTAGGTTGAAACCAGTAATAAAAAGGCTAGAAACAACAAAGACTTAGACTCAATAGGAAATACGAATGTGTCAGGTTCTTCAGGAACTGACAAAAGAAGCATGCTTTTACAGAGAATAGGTTACCAAGTAAAAGCCAGAAAATCTCCTAACTTACCAGTTTGAACGTTAAGATTCTTGAGAGTATTTCAGGCACATTCAAAACTATTTTCATTTTGGATATCAGTATCAAGGATTACATAATGTTAATCTCCCACTACCAAATCACTCAGGTCACAAATGCCCAGCTCCTGTTCTCACAGATGAAGCTTTGAGCCAATGAAGGAAACAATATCCTTTTTAAGGATTGCCCCTTCTTCACTGGCTCGAGGACAAGTAAAACAGCCTCTGTGACTCACTGGTTGCAAGACAACATAAGCGTACATGTTGGGAAGAAAACCTCTCTCTATCCTGATCTCTACCAGGATTCAGTTTTGGGGATTTACTGACAGCATCACAGTAATCGCTTTTTGGGACTGTGAGTAGGTTTTCCCCTAGTGGCAGAATTGGATCAGTTGAGAAGGGGAGATCTATTGGGTTTTCCCTTGCTATTTTTGAACTTCTAAAACATATTTTCTACAGCAGCCTACAAATCTAGTGTGCACAGTAGGGAATAAATGCATATTGTCCTATAATTTCATAGATTGCCATCCCCACTCCCCACTCCAGTACAAGGGAGACATGGATAAACTGGAGCAAGTTCAGTGGACGGTGACCATGACAGTCAGAGGCCAGAGCACTTGCTCTGAGGAGAGGCTGAGGGAGCTGGGCTTGTTCAGCCTGGAGAATAGGTGGTGTCTAAGGGGACTGAATGGCAGCCCCCCAGCTGCTATGGGGAGGTTGACAAGAGATAATGGATAAAACTACACTGAAATAAGACAGGTTCAAACTGGTAAAGACCTGACTGGATAAAGCCCTGAGCAACCTGGTCTAACTTCACAACTGACCCTACTTTGAGCAGAGATTGGTCTAGAGACCTCCTGAAGTCCCTTCCAACCTGAGCTATCCAATGATCCTATCTCCAATACCTGCTGTTCAACGGCAGAGCTAGTTCCCTCAGAATTTGGAATAAGACATAGATGAAGCAAAAGCTTCTTTTAAAGAACATGCTTAGCACAGCAAAGCAACTACTTAATTTTTTCCAAGTCTTTCACTTGCAACTGGAAGGAGGACATGATCCCAAGAGCATCACTGTGACCAACAGCTCCTGAGGCAGCCTAACCCTTTAGTGGAAAGAATTCCAGAAGTGCCCTACCTCTCCCTGGCTGGGGGTCACACCACATTCCCAATATATGTTATTTCTCCCTACAGTAGCATAGCCAGAAGATTAGCTGCCAAGCTACAGACTGTAGAAAAGCTTCCCCTAAACTCCAAAATTGTTCAAAATGTTCACTGGAAGCACCATTCACTAACACAACACAAATGCAAAATGCAGAAGACGACTGCCTTTTTAACAGGATAGTATCCTTTAGCCTTGAATCAGCCTGCCTATACAATGCCCAAGAAAGCACACTGCATTAAGACAGTACAAACTGAAAGGAGATTTCTTTTTTTTTTTATATAGTAATCTATATAGAACTTCCAATATCCCAGAAGAAACTTTCATGAACTGTTGTGTGGAACTTCCCTACCTGGTGAATGCAAGAGCCTATAAATACTTTTGCTTCATCCTAAGGCTATTAATTAAAAATATACTATTAAATTACCTGTTACCATGAACATGAGAAGCACAAAATGCAAAACTGTAGTGGAGTAAGGTTGGATCAATGACAGAACCATTTTCTGAATGTTCAATCAATTCATTGAGATAGCAAAGATGGCGGTGACAGCCTCTCACTCCGTAGCGAGCACAGTATTCATCTAATACGAAGACTTGACCTGGGCTAAACCAACCCTGAAAGAGAAAGGCAAAAAACCCCACAACGTTTGAAATTTCTTTTCCTACTCACAGCTTTTAAATCAAACAAAGAACAGAAGCGTACATTTTTATGTGCATTACATAAACTTTTTATACTAGATTTATATCTGACTAATGCTGATGGCACTGGAAACTAGATCCAACAATAGCCCTCTTGCTGAAAGGAGTGTCAGGAAACTATTTGCAGTTCTTGAGCTGGTTTACAAAAACATGCTATACATCCAAAATTTGGTACAGATTCAATTATATCAAAACATAATATAAAATAAACTAACACTTCAAAATAATTAATTTTGTTCAAGTAATTAATTGTAAGCTATGAGAGAACATTTGCGTAATGGTGAGGGACATCAGCATGGACAGTTAAAACACAGTTACTGGACGGTCAGTTCCCCGTGGCTGGAACTTTAATGTGAGAGAACCACAATTTGACCATTTACCCTGTTTCTTACATAACACGCGTGCACTTTTAACGACTTTTTAAAAACTTACACTAATAAAGAGATACAAAGCTAGGTAGTTTGTTAAAAGCCACCTGAATGAGATGAGTATGATTTGACTTTAAATAATAATTAGATATTCTGGGGTATACTGAGGGCTTACTCAGGCAGAATCTTGATGAGACTAGAACGGCGTAACCCTGACAGAGACATGAACAAAGTAGAGACTCCTTCTCACCACAAAAACAATTCTTGAGTGAATCCAAAGTGTAAAAAAATAATTGATTCTTCATGTAGAAATGTAAAACAGAAGAGCGTTGATTGCTTTGCCTCCCAATATGAAAAAAGATAGCACAGTGAGCTTCCAAAAAGCAGCAGGGAGAAAAACATAAATCTTGGAAAACCACAGCTACTGCATAGCTGTTCTAAATAAGCATTTTTCTTTGTTCTTTTCTTAATTGTGGTGATATTTCCCTCTCATCATCCCTGCCAAATGGTTAAGAGAGATTGAGGAACACCTGAACTCAAATATACAAATAACTTGGATAAGCAAAATGATTTTGCAAGTCATGAATTTATAACATCAGTTTATCAGCTGAAGACCAATATTTCCCTATTGCTTGTGAGCACTTCTGCAAGCTCAGATGTTTAATATTCATAAAAATATACTTGTATATTTGTATATATACAGCCAAAATACTATTAAACAATACTTAAAAATATATTCACATCAGATTTAAATCATCTGTGTTTTAACTTTACCTAAAGACCTGCATGAGACAGGAATTTAAATTTTATATTCTCCCTCAACTCTTCAATTTAACATATTATTTGCAAACAAGAACACCTCAGACTTGTTTCATAAATTTATTTGCTCCTGATTAATTTCTTTGAAGTCAGTGTTTCCTTTAAACACTGCCTTTAAAGAGCTTCAGCTTTTTCTAGAGAACATTTAGCTTTATTACAGCACCCAGAACAGTATTCAGTGTTTTAAACTAATATCCAGTCATGTTGCAATGGCTCATGTAGTTTACACAGTGTTTGCTAGAAAATATGGTATGCCATTGAAAGAAGAAAGAAAAGGGATTTTAACTGAATTTCTGCAATAATATATATCCTATCCCTAGATATAATAAATAGCAGTTATTGTGATTGATATTCTGCCAATACATCGTAATTGTCACTGATCTCTCTCTACATTTTTATGGAAAACGTGACAAAATGCTGCATGTCAATGTCTAGCAGTACAAAAGGAAATAATTATTAAAATTTCCATACGTTCTCATAGGAGAAAATTGTGACCAGAATACACATTTTTAAAGAACTTATTTCTTATAACTTCAGTCTCTGTAAGAGATCTCATTTAGCGTGGTCATTTTCATATAAATATGTGCCTTCCTTGCCCTTGTTCAACCCCATACCATGCATAAGTCTTACAAACACATAACAACTATATGCTACAGAGTATTAAATAACTTCATATTTTTTATTGCATAATTGCAAAAAAACCCCAAAAAACCCAGAAGCTCCCCAATACCGAGAAAAATGTAAAATTAAAGAAGTTTAGGTCATATAGTAATTTAACACAGAACTGTGCTTAATATTAATTCTTACACATTTTTGGTTTTATTTTTACAAGTTGTATGTGTGGTTACTCCATATTTATTGAAATAAAGGGACGCATTGTTTCTAAAAATGATAGGAAATGAGAAAAAAATCACATTTATATGTTCACATATTCTATTGCTACCTTGGCATTCCCAATTTTTAAATTAAAGAATATAGTTAAATATACAATTTACCCATTCTACTTATTAAAAGCTGAATTTTAAAAAGAACAATAAGAAAAGCATCTGCTTTATGGTTGCTATAGCACTGTGTATTTCACCTAACCTCTTCTAAAAGTTCCTGATTTCAAGGTTATATTAAGTGTCTTACTATATTATTATTATAAAAAAAGATTTTGACCCCAATGCACTGTTAGAAAGCTAACCATTTTCTCTTTGAGTGCCAATTACTTTGTACAGATGTACCTTTGGGCCTCTTCTCTGATTCAGTGTGCAACCCAAAGGCAGAAAATGAGTCCTTTAACTTTTTCTATACATACTTACCCGGTAGTATTTTAAAAAGGAAGCAACTGTCATCAAATAATCAATGTTTTTTTCTTTTTTACACTTGCAAACAAACCTAAAAACCCCATCATTATCTTTGTATTATATGAGTAGTCAGATCACTGGAAAAAAGAAGTGAAAAAAAGTTATCCTTTTTTGTTGCTGTTGGGATAGTAAAGTGAAAAAAATTATGTGCTATGAGGCATTTTAGGTTCTTAGTGAGAGATCGCTATTTCAGACACGACATCAGGTGAAAAATAAAGCCTCAGGAAGTTATGAGGTCTGATCCACACAAACCTGTTTAAAAAGTGTGTATAATCTGACGGACTTCCACAAGATTGTTGCTGGTTTTCCCTACTGAAAACAAAACCAGAAGCAGCCCCATCCTCAACTTCTAGCCCCATAAAGCATAGAATAGAAAGTGTTATGTAGGAAAGAGAAACTGCAGCTACAAATATGGAAGCATGTTATGCCAATATCTTCTCTTTTATAGCTGTCTTTGAATGTGAAAAACATTCATTTTGATACAGAGATCACACTTTACTTGTTTTGGTTAATAATTATACTCCCATTTGTTGTTTGCAACTCAGGTAATACATATATGCTCATATATCTATATTGCCTGTGATTCTGCTTCCCTTCTTTTGGTGTTTTTCCTTCTTCACATCACAGTGGAATGAAGAACTACAAGATAGGTGAAAATATCTGACATGAGGCAACTGCATTTGTACCTTAAAATGCCTGTACAGGTGTCACTAAATCCTACAAGAGGAGCTCTTAGCATTACCAAAGCCTTCTGTTTTTATTCAAACCTCCATAGAGGACATGATAAATTTCAGCTGATAAAATCAGAGACAGTTTGGGTCTCTGCTTTCTACTGAGTGGCACAGCAGCGGCTTGCAAGTGTATAATTTTCAAATTTGAAACTAATTGATTGGACCCTTTATTCCAACTACAACTGCAGCTATTGAATGAACTAGGAAGAAAGGACTACTTTGTAACAAGTATTTCTCACTTTATCTTCTAGCCAGTACTCACCAAACAAGAATAGGAGTCATTCAATCTGTGATCCAAGGTCTGCCTCTGAAGCAGTCTAAAGAGGGAAGCGTGGTCAAATTTGCAGGGATTAGCAGAAATAAACTCATCCATGCCATGTTTCTGACCACGGTCTGTATCTGTTCATACAAAGGAAAAATGTGCAGAACAATACACGTGAGTGTGTGTGCAGATTTACAAACAAAAGTGTACACATGGTATATAAGTCTCAAAATATAAACTTTCTTGAAAATATTTTGAAGAAACAAGTTACATAGATGCTTGCGTGACATTATAGAATATTGTTTTTTAATCTGAAAATAATATTATTGAATTATTTTTCTATCATACCAATCTATGGAGTGTAAAAATAAAAAAAAATACAGTTTCTACCCACTGATAGATTAAACAAAACAATTGAGAAAGGCTACCTGAAAATACAACATAGCATGTTAAAACAATTCTTAAAGCATGGTTTTCTAGTGGAGCTCTTCAAATGTTACAATTTACAAAACAATGTTATAAGTACGAAAAAACCGTGTTCTATAATTTCCTGGTTTTTTGTGGCGCTCTTTCTAATTTTAGCAAAATAACCAAATAAACACCCTTTCCTCGACCGCAAAAAGAAAAGGTTTATGCATTTATTTCTTCAGATAAGAAAGAGCATCTTTACTGCAGATCAAAGTACCACTCATAGAAATATTCATCATGGCTTGAAGCCTACTTCTCAAATGGCAAACTGGAGCAGAAATGAACACACTGGCTTGAGCTAGGTCATTTCCAGCCTTCTTTTTGTACTCAGCTTTTAATGAGACAAACCTTAATGTAGTAATGGCAGAGAGCTCCTTCAACCTTCCAGCAAAGAGTAGTGAAAAAGGGAGCAGCATTTTTGTGTAAATACATTGAGAAAACATACCATCCCAAATGGCACTTCAATCAAAGGCCCAAATTTATTGTTCTTCACAGACTGCATCTTTCAACGCCTTTAAACCCCGCGGGTTTATCAAAAGAGAAGCTCTAGTGATTGCTTTCATTAATGCTATGTTTTGTCAAAGTCCTCAATGTGAATTATCTATCAAGTATGGACAGAAAAAGCCTTACAGTGCCCAAAAGGACTAGTTATGTATTAGCACATTAGCTGTCTTGGATTCTATAGACTGTACTGGGGTGAACAGTCCTATCAACTTAAAAATTGACTTCCCCTTTCAATAGGGTCTTAGCTCTTTGTTCCTTTAAATTCAAACCTAGGTCTTTTTATATTCGTTACTAGAAAAGTATAGATCTAAGTGTATCCTAAATGCAATTTTGAAAACCTGCATAGTATAAACCTAAAATTTCTAAAGAAAAGGAGACAAAAGTTTATTGATTAAACCCAATTATAGAGTCAGGTTCATAATAAAACTCAATATTGATCTGTGGGCATGATGCTAACATAATCAGTCACATTTAGAAATTTAGCCCCAGATCATATTGATCCATGTCAAGTCCAACTTTCAGCTGTATTTGTGGATGGGAGAATTATTTAATTCAAGCTGAAGGATCTGCAGCATCACATCCTGGAAAGATGCAGAAACTAATTCATATCACTTGGCTTTGCACTGTCAAAGCAAGAGTCACATCCATGTGACAGATTTCACCAAGGTAGACGTAGCTAATAAACAGTATGACAATACATCGATGGTGTAAGGTATGAGACCATCATCCCAGAGAAACAGCAGCATATATTTTTAATGGTTTAAGGATCAGTAGCATATGTGATTACATAGATTAACAATATTTCCATGAGCATTAGACTAGTCTATCATTAATGACAAAAACTTAGGTCTTATTTTTGACATAGGTACATGAAATGCTCTCTCTTAAATGTTTTTAAACACATGAATTCAAAGATAAACAACTGATATCAACAACTACACAACTGAAAGTACTAAACTACAATGTGAAGTTATCTATAGTTTCCAAAATGATCCTCACACAGATAAAAGTTTTCCACACCCCATCTGTTCAATGTGTAAGTGACTGGTTTCTACATTTCTTGTAAGTTTTCCTTCTGACATGGATATCTGATTTATTGAGTCATTATTTAAAGTAAGACAGATGTCAGAAAAGAAAAAAGATTAGTATTTCTTTCTGCCATTGGTCTCAGGTACAAATTACATACAGCTGAATCTTTCTTAATTTAACTGGCTTGATTTTTTTCTCTGGTTAACTACACAAATATAAAAGATTCTCCTTTCTTAAAAGAAAATCTGTGTAAGTACTGACATGTAATTAAGTATTTTGAAATCAGGAGACTAGGTGTTCCAAGGGAAGCAGATTCAACATTCTGATAGAGTCATCTAGATGATCACAATATGTAAGGTGACCTATTGAATACAATGCGGCTTGTAGAAGCAGAATCTGCTATTACATAATTTGGGCAAAATAAGCAAAAATATTATTTAAATATATACATACTTCCTCCATCTAATTCTACAGAAAGATCCACGACTGATCACCATCTTTTTAAGTGAATCAAACAGTACAAATAACATTGTCAAATAGTAACAGAAGATCTCCTATCAAATATATTCTAACAACAGAAAAACAGTTAAAAACTTACCTTTGCCAGCTGTAGGCAAGCAAGAAATAATAGAAAAATAGATCTAGTGTAATACATTACATTTTATTTTATTGTTATGATATACACACAAGATAACTGGTAAATCTTTTTGAAACAAAATGGATTTAAAAAAAAAAATGAGAACTTGGTCAAAGATCATGAGGAATTCATAAATGTGATTTATAATATGAATATTAATTCATGACTGTGATTTAAAAATTATTTAACTTTCAAAAATTGTTGAAGTGATTGTATTTTTCAAATTCCTACACAAATCAGCTTTAGATGTCCTGTTCAAGCTACATGCAAATGCAAAAGACATAAAGAGTGCTATATTGTGATACGCAGTTAGGAAAAAATACAATTCCATTTTATTCTCTACACTTTCTCAATCTTGGGAAATATTGGGAAGATATTTGGGGAGAGCTTTGAAGCAGTAATACCTCTCCTGTTTTTTCACAATTAATTTTCTTCCCTTCTTAATGGAATTTGTTGTCCTGCATTCAAGTTGCCTCTAACTCAAACTCATTGTTTTGGCTGCTATTTCCATGTTGCACTGCCTGTTTCAGGCTGTGTATTTATTTCATCTTTTGGAAACTATTAGACAAAAAACTATCCATTTTTTTTCGACCAAGGTAGGACAAATATATATATTTAAAAAACACGGTAAAAACTTACAAAAGCTGTTGCAGGAGTATTAGCAAATTCGTTGGGTGTTCTTTTAGACAGCGACATTAATTTTGGCAAAATAGCATGCTGAATATGCCTTTTGCCATCTTTGCAAGAAACTTCCAATTTTAGCCCAGCTGCAAAGGCTATAAAAATCATCACATCCTCAGCGACTTGGTAGAGTTGGGTGAATTAAGACTACCAAGAATTCCATGTTTATGGCACATGCTCAAGTGGTTCCTAGTGGTAACCAAATCACTAGGCATCATCTCTGCCCTGTTCCAGCCCAGAAGCAAATACACGTTTTCTGCAGCAGTTACTCTGTGCTAGGGTGAACTACAGGAACTGGCCTTGTAAAGTGGTGACCTCCTCCCTTTTGTGGCTCTCAGTGACATCCCTGCTTGAGTTTAAGCATCGTGGAAGCAATTTGAACTAACTCAGGCAGGCAGGAAAGAAGAGCATGTAGAGAGAAGAAATCTAGTATTGTAGGGATTAAAAAGATTTAGAGACTAGGAGTAGTAGGGTAAGAACTATGACTCTGATACAGAAGAGGCTGGAACTGGTTGGACGAAGACGAAGGTGCACGTGCTCTGTGCAAAAGACAGTGGCAAGACATGCATTACATTCCTTCAAGTGCCACTCCATACAGATAGTGACAGCTTCCATCGGGAACATTTTGACTCCTGATCATTGACCAGGACTCCGAAGTGCTACATGCTTAGAAACACAGGCCAAAGAGACAATCTATGCCCCCAGAATCTTATCATTTAAATATCAGACAATGAAATAACAGATGGAGAGAAAGTGGCAGAGCGAGAAAGCAGCTGGCCCATATGGCCTGACCGTCAGGCTGGGGATAGCACACTGATGGACTGCCAGCATTTTGCTGAAGGACAGAGATTTGAAGAGGATACTAGTTAGTTTTTGCATGTTTCTGAGTAGCACAGGAGAGAGCAGACTTACGTCAGACTTACTGACTGCCTAAGGTGGTGGAGGCCAGCGTTAACCTTTTCTTTCTAAAAGGGAGATGGGGGTAGCTGGAGGCAAGGAGGAATGGGACATGAAGGGGAATGGGGGAACATGCGGGGAGGGTGGAGTTACTCCACTCTTCCAGGCGGCAAAGTGTATGATGGATATAAAGCTGCCAAACGAAAAAATATCTTTTATTTCTGTTTGTTTCTAAAAGTTTTAATTAATTGAACATACAGATACAAACATCTCAGAACTATTTTAAAAGAACTGCTTTTCAAGAACATTACCAATTATTCCAAAACTGAGCAATGCCACCACAAGGTAAGCAGTGGTGTTTCTTGGGTGTATATATTATGACACCAGTACCTTAATATTAATCATATTCTGGTTTTCCCACAGAGTCTCTGATGTAGCCAGTTCAAAGACTGAGAGTGATACAAATAACATTTAAAAGAAATATGAAATTAATAATTTATTCCCATACCATTAAACTACGATTGGGAGAGAAATTTTACAGCGCTTATCATCACTATATCCAAATAGATTGAAAATGTAATATTATATTTTCATGACTATTCCCAAAGCATTTCTTCATTTGCCAAGTTGCCTGCCAAATTCTACTTGATTACACAACACTGGCTGCTCCACTTGGTTGATTTAAATGTCCACACAAGCTTCCTCCGTGATGCTCTTTTGGTCAGATGGATGTTTCATTTGGAAATGTCTTCAAGTTGCTGTCATTGGATTGATGTCTTGTAATACCAATGTATGGCCTATGTATTTGACTCCCTTTGCTACTCCCTTGCTACTTAATAAATAGGATTTGATGTTTTGTACATGGGCTCTAAACAGCATTTTTATGACAACTGTTATAATTGGTCTCCGCAAATCTCAAATTATTTTCCTTTCGTGAGCTGTTTAGATAAGCGACATCATTCCAAAAGACAGATGAGGAAAACTATACATCTCAGATCAAATGATTCCTAACCTCACTTGGTTTTCCATTCCTTCATCAAGACATGACAATCCCCTCATGTGCTGCTGTTACTCCTTTGCTATGACCAAGTTATTAACAGTGATTATCACTTCAGCAGCCTTTCTACCTGTGTGAATAGATCTCCTAATACATTGCTCATTAAGAAAGGGATCTCCTCCTGCACCTTTATGTCACTCAGATGAATCTATTTTTAATTGGCGCTTTCCCTGAAACATTCATGTCCTTGGGAAACTTCTGGCTTTTCTACAATCATGCATCCTTAAATACTCTGTTCTTTGCTTTACAGCATGCTTATTCAGAATAGCGGAACTGAAGAGAAGTCTCTTTTTCTTGATCCATTGCTGACATTAGCCTGTCTTCACTTTTGTTTTGGAGCCATCAAATACTACAAAAGTGCAGCACCAAGTTGCTTTACTCAGAAATGAAGAAATTAATTTTAGAAGTTGGACAGGTACAATAGTACTTTGATTCCAGTGCCACAGTTTAATGTGTATTTGCCTCACTGGTAGTATAGAATATCAAGTTTCTTATAAATTACATGAACTATCCTAAAGTGCCACACAGCATCAGCAAGAAGAGACTGCACATTCAGATCAGTTAGAGAACTGTAGGCTGGCCTTTTGGAGTGCTGCTGCTGTGCACATGCAAGAGCAACATTTCCATTTTCTGCATTTGTGGTAATTGCTGTAAAGATCAGTCAGACCCTGGCTGTCTTATAGCCACATGTCTAGTTTCTTGTCAGGATTTCCTGATGTGTTTGTTTTGATCCAGCTCTCAGGTGGTTGGATCTTGTTCACGTCATTTTAAGCACTCTTTTGTACAAGGAATTATCCTATGTGGAACAAGACAAAAAATACGGCCTTTTTTATACAAAAGGAGTCTCTTACTCCTCCCTTTCTAGTACTTTCTTTTATACAAAAGGAGTTCGTGGTATAGATCACAGGAATAATTCTACCACAGCTTGCAAAAACTCTTAGAGAGTTTTGAACTTGAGAATACAGAAAACAGTAGAGGCTGTGAAAACAGTATCATTTATTGTCATTTATACATATCACTTGATTAAAAATGTTAAATGTTTAATAAAATGCTTGCACTTTGACAAGTTGTCATTTTCAGCTAATAATGTAACATTAACTTTGGAAGGTAGAATTTTGTCTACAAGGCAACGGAAAATTGAAATGTTAGTATTTATTACTAGCAAAAAATTAACCTTAATACAGCTAGGTATGTAGCATATTAACCATCATCCGGTGTTTTAATTTCTTTAATGACAACTTTCAGTTGCTTTTCTTATCTATCAAGAGAATTTCAGGATTACAGAAGATATTTTATAAACACAATATATAAAAACATTGAAACATGTCTCCTTAAGCTAATTTTTCTCTACATCCAGCAGTTTAAAGATATTTAATTTTTTTCAAGTTATTGAAAGTTCTTTTTGTACATTTTATCAGAATGAGTGAGTTGCATTTCTTACCTTCCTAGAAGATAAGGAAGATGGGGACAGACTTTCAAGGCTTGAATATTATTAGATGACATTTATTTTGCAAAGCCGTAGTTGGTTTTCTGCTTTCTGTATGTGGAGGGGGCATTGTATGATACTTTAATAACTTTAAGAACAAAACCAATGTGATCTTGTATTGGCTGCCAATGTTTACGTGATGTATTAATTGAAAAATATGATACATAAAAAAGTAGTTGACAAATTCTCTGGTCATAACTGTATTTCCTAATACTAAAAATGTATCATAGTGAAGAAGAAAAAAATAGAAATGAATTTCATTTAATATATACTCTAGCTCTCAAGTACTTAGTGTTATATCTTGATTAAAAATAAAATACCCTTAACCTCATGCAAACATTTTTCTAGGGGGAAACAAAATGAAATTCTTAGGAAACTGAACATATTTAAATATGACAAAAGGTCAGCTATAGATTCTTTTCAGAAGTAAAACTGTGCCCCAAGAAAATCAGCACAGTATATGTAAATGAAGCAGGAGTCTTAGAAAATTATTTAAGGTTATATCTGTAAACCCTAGTTTTTGCGGCTTCTTAAAAACTGATTAATTTGATTATGCCCATTTTTACCTTAAGTGCAAAATACAGAATAATAACATTTTCCTCATGTAGGCAGCACTGGAGGTATTACAAAAATCAGTCAAACATTGATTCTTTTAAGACTAAATCTCACATTAAGTTAAATTTCACAAGTTACTCTATTGCAAAGTATTCTATGAATTAATTACAAAATACCAACATTGAAGTGTTTTAAAACCAAAGGCAAATAATAATTTAACCACAGATTTTTGATTTATATACAGTTCAGTCATATCAGTTTGTGCAAGTTGATACATAAGCGTGACAGAAAATACATTATATTTTGAGGCTTTTAAGCTTCCCTTAAACTGTCTTTAAAATAAACCCTATTTTTGCTATGGTTTCCGCCTAAGAATTGTAGTCACCCTAACCGTCTAAGATAATATCAAGACGTGTCAATCTTGTATTTTAATTCTTTACCACTATCAGCAATTTTATCTCTGAAAACACAATTTCAGTATATCCAAACTTGCAATTGTTCTTTGTACCTCTTTCTATAACTTTCCCTGTCCTGTGGTCAGTGTTTTCTAGTTGCTTTCATTTCCATGTAAACCCTGTGTCCAAGAAGAAGAGCAATTCCTTGGCTACTGCTGACTATGGTCACTTCTTTTGTACTTTCTAAGTGATGCACATGAAGTAGAAACTTTAAGAGAGGAACACAGTGAACTCCCAGTACCCAGCCCAGATTCAGGTAACTGGGAGGAGGTGAGCAGAAGCACTCCTTGGCTGTTGCCCCACCTTTGTTTTTGCAGTGTTACTTACATCCTACAAAATACTTCACCTTAACACCCCCCATGATGAATAGTTACTTCACCCTTCCAAATTGTTTCAGATTAAATATTCAACAGATGTTAGTGCTTTTGTGAGATAAACTATGTTTTTTTCAATGTTCTTGACAGCCCAGTCAGGATTTTAGATAACTATTACTGAGTTTAACAAGCACGTTTTACTGTCTTCCAATAGCAAAATGATAAAAGATTACAGGATAAATGGAAGGCTGTGAGACTGAGTGATAGCAGGACTGATGGAGGAGAATGGTTTTGGGTCAACCTGCTATAGACTTCAGACATTAAACCAAGCTGAGTTTAAAACATATATCTCCCTTCCATCACTCTACATGTACAGATATACAATAGTGAAGAAGGATTATTGTATATAGTCATATGATGTAAAAATTTGATGGCTCTTGCAAAAATCCTTGGACTGCACTCAGCCTCCAGAACAACAAAAAAAAATCATCTATGCCTCCTATGTGCAGATATCTACATGACAGCACACTTTCAAAGAGATTATAAAAAAATTTCAAGATATGGTTAATATATGCTATCTACATTGATTTTCTCTGAAACAGTATTTTCCTCAAAGAAAGATGAGGAAAACTTAAACCTTTTTTTTTTTGAAATTTTTTTATATGTAGTTTAATATTACACTGAGGGGTGCAAAAATCCAGCCGCCCATCTAGGGCCTTTCAATGTACTGTCTTTCAGCTCACAATGTACTGTCTGCATAGCAATTTTTAGATAACTAATGTATACAACGTATGAGAAAGCTCCCCTAAATGTATAAAATTCTGATAATAGATTGATGCTTTTCTATTCAACACTATATTGCCTGCCTACTGAAAAATATAATGTAAACCAAACACCATCTCCATGGTCATATGTGGGTCAACTGTAACGGATATGAAGCTAATTGCCATATTTTCATGGATTATAATAAAAATAATGACCTGCAAGTCAGGATTTCCCTCACTGGTAATAATAATCTGAGTTAAAGGGTTTCTGGCTAACAACAAACTGCTAGGCACATTTCCCTAGTGAATGAGTTCTGCTTAATTAAACTTCATTAAGGGAGCTGCTACATATTTTACCAACTAAAACCAAAACCAAAGCCACAAAAGAAAAACAAAGTCAACTTACAAAGTGGGGATATACCTGTGTTGACATTTCCTCCTTTAGGATTCATCTTCTGAGCTTGACTTGCAGGAATAGGCTTATATGATTGACCTGTGGCTCTGTACATCGCTTGAACCCAGAGTATTCTATCCTGCTCGTCGTCACTGGCAAATATCACAGTATCGCCTTCTTTAACAGCATTGAAAAACATTCGACCACCCTGAAGACCTGGAGCAGGAAATAGGAAAGTAATCTTAATAAATACAAGTTACTCCTAAATCACCATCAATGTTTATCACATTATTGCACATGTGTGTGTGTGGGGGGGTGGGTGTTAAAACATTTTACAGGTATTTATGACCTAGAAATACGATAGAATCTAGAGCTACAGGGATCAAATGGTAATACATGGAAGTAACATATAAGTAGAATAAATATAGAAGTCACAGGAGAAAATATTTCCATAATTCCATTTCCAATTCAATTCCAATTTATTTCTTATTCACCTTCTCCGTGTCATATGCTATTTTGCATTTCTCTAACATATCCTCCTTCTAAGCATCATTTTCTTAGCTGGAAGTTCCTGTCAACTTTATCTGTTCTTGAACAGAGACAGCTCCATACCTCTTATCAGTGTTGCTGCTCATTCCTTGGTACCTTTTTCTCATTCCAGTGTTTTGTTCTGAGTGCATAACCAGTACAGCACACACCAGTCAACGTGGCTGTGCTGGGGATTTTTTTATGACAACATTGTTTTGGCTTTCCAAACACATTCTGAGCATTGTTTGCCTTCTCAGTTATTCTAAACATCATTTCCAAACATCAATCTTCAATATCTTAGAAGTCGCTTAAATTCATAACCCTCCACTGCGTAGGTAGAGTAGAATCGCTTTTCTCTACATGTATAACTTTGACTTCCCTCTGCCATTTTAATACTAACTTGTGTAGATTTTTCTGATATCTTCAAATTTATTTTTGATTACTCTGGGTAATTTGTCTTTAGCAAGCACTGCCATCATTCACCTTCTTTTCTAAGTCATTTATGAATATACTTCACAGTACACTGCCACATGACTCCACCATCAAAAATAGAGAGAAAAGGGAAAAACTACCTAGAATTAATAATTTTTCCCTTGTATCATATGTGGTCTTACAATGTTTCAGCAACCTTATTGTAAGTTTATTGTTCATTCTTCTTAAAACAAGCTTCTTTCTAAAAGCATGATTTTTCACACTAGAAAATCCTAGTGGAATAATTGCAAAACCTTCAGATGCTGAAAAAAAAGAACCTTGGGGTTTCTTGCTGCTAGATCAAAATGAACAAATTGAATCAGCTGTTTTACACAAACATATTGTACTTCAAAATCATAAAAAGTACCTGTGTGAGGAGCTGTATAATCCACAGTGTATCCTTCGAGTTGCATCAGTTCCTGAGGCTCAGACTTTTTTTCTCTGTAACTGCACATTGCAAACGTGTATTGGCTAACCTGAATAAGAAAAGACTTCTTAATTGCTGAATTCCATTCCAGAATTGTGTAACACATATACCACTGTTTAAATTATCTTTCAGTTATGCTGAAGAAATAAACCCCATTTTTTTTCCAGAAATATTTACAGTGTAAAACTTTGTGTTCTTTCCTGTTCCTGCCAAAAGGAAGGAAAAAAAAAGCCATAAACACATCTCTCTGCAGTTTCCTGAAATACAATGTATTTTGGGCTGTTGCTTTATGAAAAATTGAAAGGAAGCAAATTAGGTTCTGGTAGGGAAAATACTGGGTACCATGGTACAGACAAAACCGCTCAGTCTACTGTGTGAGAAAAAAAGTCCTGTATTCCAAGAAACTGGTAAAAAAGGACTTTGATGTATAAAAGTACCATTTGCATAAGGAGTGCCACAATGATCATGCAGCTGGAAAGACGAACACATAATCTGGCCAATTCTAGTTAAAGATGGTAAGCACCAGAACCTTCAGGCTGTTTTTATAGTCTAATTTCTGCATCTTTTGTACCTGTGTTCACACCCATCTCCAGGTTGCTTGGCTCACTGGATACAGTACTGTGTAGGCCAAGCAGCTTGCAGTTGGCATGAGCAACATCAGTAACTTCTCATCAAGTACAATTATTAAAAAAATAATAAAACAATAAGAAGGGAATCTGTCATTATGTGGTTTAAGACTCCCTAGACAGAATAGAAAGCGATAAGAAGAGCTGAGGAAAAAGTGACTGGAAAGATAAAGAAAGGAATGTAACAGCTGGGGGAGGAAAAGGAATCACTGAAACAAAACTGAAATGTTCCCAGCCTTAAATGAAGAGCTGGAAAGACTATAAAAGGTGACCAGAAGAGCTTGTGAATCTGTTGAACACTTGAAACTTAAGGAAACTGAATTTATACGGGCCTCTGAAACTCTCGTCTCCAAAGACTGTAAGATACCTGGCCAACTGACTTGTTTTGAACTATAACATCATTTCTTAGATCTGTAAAATTATGCAAGGATCTAAGGATAGGCAAGAAGCTTGTCTGATAGACGATGGACCATCTTTATCTCAGTTGCTGACTGCTAACTGTTACCTAGATTTACTGCTTTGGCTACAACTTCAAGAATGATCCTTTTTGAAGTAAAATTTTGACAGCTGATTTCAGCTTCATTCATACATTCGCTGGTACCTGCATGCCACTCCACCTCAAGGGCCAGTGACTTCAACTGCTACTGACAAAAGATTTTTCAGTCTCTATAAAAGATTGATATTTTTGGAAAATAAGGATAGAAGGTGTGATTATTATCTGCATAATGCTCTAAAAAGATTTCATTATTCTAAGTATTTGGGTTTTTTTGAAACAGGATTATGCTGTGCTATGTGTATGCAGTGCACGGCAACTGAACACATCGTGTACAAGCAAAAGGAACAAGTGTAACAGCTCTCTCCGCAAAATTGCCATCAGGCCTCAAATGCTGAACTGATGTCTCCAGAACCACAGCAGAAGTCTACAGCTGAGACAAATTAAGCATAGGGATTCCAGTTTAATTAATATGTTAAGCGAAGGCAGTTTTATAGGAGATAAGAATTTGAGAGACACTGTCAGGCAAGTAAAACTGGTTGCCAGCTTTCCACATCAAATTTAGTACATTCACTTAAGTGGGCTGTACCACGGAGAGCGAGCTAAATGTAAATAAATACAAAAAACAGTCTAGCCCATCACTTTCAGAAATTCACATTTTCAGGCTAGAAGGGACTATTACAACCAGCCAGCCTGTCCTCCAGCACGACATACAGGATGGAATTTCACCTCACTGTTTGTACATTGAGCCCATAGTTTTGCTTTCATTTATAGTATGTATTTTAGAAAATTACTGTATTTTGGTTTAAAGATTTTAAGTTATCCCTGGGGTGGCAGGGCAGGGCCTGGCAGTCAGGGCCCAGCCAGGAGCAAGGCAGCTGGGGGCACCGGGGCAGCCCCAGCCCCAGGCATCGGGCACCTCCCCAGGCACAGGCCAAGGCTGGGCCGGGATGTGGGACTGCGGGGGCCAGCTCAGCAGGGCCCATTGCTGAGCAGGGCAGGGCTGCGGGGAGCTGAAGAATGGCCCTGCCATGGCGTCAGTGCGGCAGGGGAAGACGAGCCTGGGAGGCTGAAATGGGGTCCTGGGCTGGGGGCAGGGTGGGGAGGCCCTGGGGGGGCTGGGCAGGTTCAGTCAGGGCCCGTGGTCCCCTCAGGGCCCAGACACAGGGCTCAGCCCCTACACCAAGTCATCTGCTCTAGGCCCAGCAGCAGTATCACCTCTCTTACTGCTTGGTATTTCCCTCGTTATGTTCCCCAGAACCATATTTGCCCTCTCGCACAAGGGAGCTTTTGGTTAGTCACACACCTCTAAATCCTTTGCAATTATCACTGTATTTAATGAGAGCTCCCTCCTCTCCTTTTCTTGTAAACTGAACCTACGGATATCTGGCACTGAAGTAAAAATGTTTTTCAAATTATTCAATTTTGTCGAACGAAATAACCTGACAGGCACCCACATCACTCACATTTTCACGTCAACAACTCTGTATAACCACACTGTACAGCTGAACTCAGCCATCAAAAAGGAAGCTAGCAGACACTAATTTGGGAAATGCATAGAATGCTCAGCTTGTTCAGATTTCTTCAGCCACTCTATGGTTTTGAAGATCAGCTTGTGGAAGAGCTGGTCTATATGTCTTTGGTAATTTTTAATCTTACCCCTATAACAAGACAGAGATTATAATGCTGTTGATTTTACTTTTTTCAAACATATTTCTAGTTTGAAATGAATAACTTTTTAGAGAAGTGACTGGATCGTAAAAGGAAAAAAAGCAAATATAATAAAGAGGTAAAAATTTCCAGACTCTGTAACCTTCCTATAACATTGAGCTGTTCTTTCACAAACCACTAATAACTTCTAATACATGTAGCAATAATGAAGATGCACATTACTCACATCGCGCTCCTGAAAAATCAACATTATTCATCTAATTTCACACCTGAGTGAAATTTCCAAAGCATGTGTAAATCATACTGATAGCCTCTGTCTTACAACTGAATTTCATGGCCTTAATATTTTACTAACATAAGTTAAAAGCTAATCTATAGAGGAAGACACATCAATATATCAATAATATATCAATACAACAGACTGATATTCATTACCGAACGCTTACTTCACACATATTGACTTCAGCTTATTGTCAGTCTATATATCACGGCTGGACTATATAAATGAGCCAGAGCTGCCTGGACAGTAAATACTGATTTAACAAAGTATTTTTTATAGAGTCTTATTGAGTTGACAGCTGCTTTAAAATGAAATAGATGTCTAAATCCCATCACAGTGGGAAAATTCCTGTAATATTCTACTCCAGTGTTTCAATTTCAGCATAGAAAGCAGAAGATAGTTAAAATTAACTTGGCTGGAATAAACTGGTCTCCCAGGTGGCTCCATATCACATGCACAGAAAGACTATGTGTCTCTTAGGTGTGCACTTTAAAACTCAGATGACCCCTGTGGCTTAGAAGAAGAGAATAAGGTCTTTCTTTTTGTGAAAGGGGGGATGTAAAGTAGGAGGAGCGTTAAAGAAAAGGACAAGGGAGCATCTACCTTTCTTTTTTTTTTCCCCTGTAACTTTAAGTTATTTTCCCTTCACATCCATGCCTTCACAGCTATCCTATCTAGAGATCTTCCCAACCTTTACAAATCTTAATAAAGTCATAAAAAGTCCTCATCTCTTCACAGAGGACCCTAGTAAAATCATAACCCAGTAGACTTTCCAGAAGATCCTGTTCAACCTTTTAACCATTAGTCACGGATTATCAATATGCAAGCCAATTCCCATTGAAGCCAGGGAGAACACTGTATTGACATCAGGCTTAGCAAGAATAATATGCAAATACTCTCAGCTTTTACTTTATTAAAGACCTTATTCAGGATTTTTTTTTACATCCTTACAATTTTCATCATTTGGGAGTAGGAGGAGACCAGGTGAGTGTGACTGACAGTGGCAGAGAAAGGAATCAGGCTTTCTGTAAAGCAGTTGTAGAAGCCTTCATTCTTAAAAAAGCCTCATGAACAGGCTTCGTCCTTTGTATGATGTTTATGGAGACTCACACTTTAACAGTTTTCTGTCAACAAAACAAAGTACACAGAAGAACAATGTTCTCTGAACTGATTCAGAAGAACATCAAATTTGTAACTGCAATCTGAAGACAAGCACAAACAGAAAATAATGATTTTTCTAAAGACGCACAAAAATCGTTCATTTCTAAGTTTTGACGACTCAAAATCTACTTTTCTCTTCCTATTCTATTAATCTGATGTTAATGTCACCATTCACTAGCATGTGAAAATACTTTCAGTTCTAGGTTTGGACAAAAAGTTATGAAATATCAGACCAGCACATTTTTGTGGCCAAGAACAATTGCTATACTAGATCTTCTGTAACAACTACATAATTTTACCCAATTTAATATTGCAAGGAAGAACAAAAAATATTTACGAAAAAGTTCTTAATAGTAACTATTGTTGCTTTTATTTAATTTTAAAGGCCGGAAACCTTTGTTGAGATAGAATAAATGAAACCGTAAGTACAATCCACTTTGTGAAATATAACTTTATTTTAAATTGAGTGCTGCTAGAAAGCCGTCAGCGGAATGATTCAAGGTCACAACAATTTCATTCAGAAGTTTCTAGGTTTCAGTTAAAACATTGCTCAGTGTAGAGACTCATTTATATATATGTAAAACTCAGAGACATTTCTGTTTACTACATATGTAAATTTAAAAAAAAATACCCTGGATGTCTCTATGCTGTAAGAAGCTTGGAGTGGTGCTGCATATGTTGTCTTAAAATACTGATTTACTAATGGCTCCAGAAACTATACGTAAGAAAACTGATAGTCCAAGACTACTTTTTAATGAAATTTCATGGCAGACTACTAACCTGAACAAGAACAAAGTAGCGTTTTTTCCACCGCTTCCAAACCTTCTGTCCTAGAGCATACAAATATCTGCAAAGGAAATAAAGGGAATGTTTTTCCATTAATAAGAAGCATGATATTAGGAGGACCCTATACAAATGAGTGTATTCATTTGCTCTACCTACTGAGCTGCTTCTTCAGTGTTATCACATCTAAGAAGTGATTTTTTTCTTTTATTTACTGAGATCATAAAAATGCAAAGAGATATTCCTTTTCACTCATAATAAGACAAAAAGCAGAAACAAAAGATCTCATGTTTGAGAAGACTAACCTGCTTATCACTTATATTTCACCCATTGCCTCCGAAAAGAGGAAAAAAAGCTTAAAGTACAACACTTTTGACTACACAGAAATACTGAATGTTAGAAAAGTTAAACTCCCCAACACTTTTTTTTCCATTTGGTTTCCATAGATTTGCTAGTGTTTCTCTAGTCTGTGCGAAGTCAGTCACAGTGTCAGTTTGGGAAAACGCTCAAATAACAAAATGCCAGCAGACACACAAGATTAAATTTTTTTCCAGAGCAAACTAGAATCTAATTTCCCAAACAGAAGCACTTCACTACAAAGACTCTTAGATTACAAAAAACTCCTTGTCACGTTGGCAATTTCCAGGCTTTAAATCAGGTGATGTAATCAGGAGTATCAACCAGTGAGATGACAAAACCACAGTTGTTGATACTGTTTGGTGGTAGAGGAAGCACCCTCATTACCCAAGAAGTTGCAGCAAGTTTTATGGCGTTATAGTGACACTTTTTTCTGTCACTGTGGTCATGTTGCACTGCTGTTAACAAAAACAGCAAGAGGAAAAGGATGAGCTGTGGGATTGTAAGCAAGAGCCTACGAGTGGTAAGGATCTGCTGCTTAAAACCTGACAGGAGAGCAAAATATTACCTATGAGATGTCCCTTCTGGCTGGCCAGCTTCTATCAAGGGCATCTAGTACAACGAGGTGAGTCAAAGGCAGAACAAAGATCCAAATTGTTCAGACCAATGAATGCTGGCTTCACAGGGCGCTCTCCAGAGGATGCTGGCACATATATTACAGAGAAGTTATAATAACTAGGATCGGAGGTGGGTGGGTGGATGGTTGGTAGATGGACAGGTGCCTTTGTGGGAAGAGGATAGGGTCTGCTGCCCTCTACTTTCTGATCACTTCTGGTGCTTTGATGCCCGGTGGTTTTTAACTCAGTCAAAAAACAGAGCAAGGAACCAACATCGCATGTGAAACAGGCAAGTACGATACAGGCAAAACCTTTTTTCCACCTGTCCCAGGCATAGACTCAAGCACTGCTTTAAGTATCACAAAGGACAAATTTTTGTCTAACATGAATGTTCAGCGTAATGCCTATTAACCATGGTGGTTTGTCAGATTACGTAGCGTCTCCCTCATCACTACAACACCGATATCTTGCCCTTCTTCAACTCCTGCTACACCTGTGTTGAAGCTCTGCCTCGCTTGGTTACTCTGCTTTTTATTCATATGAGAGAGAGGACAATTGGCTTTGTGTACAGGATTAACATGTGATGCAGCTTGCTTTGAATAGTTCAGATCCTGCCACACTCTTTTTAACTTCTTAATTCTGTGATAATCATAAATTCAATGAAAAGAAAGGAGAGGAGTAAGGGTTATGTCAGAAAAGGTGTCAAAAAAGGGCCTACTAGGATTTACTTGAAAGTTTATAATGTTTTGCAACTAAGGAAGCATTTACCTCACAGAGGGATAGGTGCATATTCCCCCACAAAATACGAACTGTTTTGCTTTTTGTATATGTTTCAAAAGAGCCAGGCATGTTCCCCTATATCAGAGCATTTACTTTCCCCAAAGCATACCACATTGCTATTGCACCATTAATCGCTTTACTATTGCCATAGCGTGGAGCGGGAATGACTGATGAATTTCACTCAGCCTTGAAGATTAACGACCAGGGGAGAGAACAGTAAAAGGGTCCACAGGTGGCCTTTGGGCTCTGTCAGTCCTAAGCCTGCCCTGTTCTTCACGGCGATTCTGCCACTGCATTCCTCAGACTATCCTGTAGGTTTCTCTGATGTACGCTGGAGGACAACTGCCCCATGGACTGTGAAGACCAACTGAGAATACACAGTCCTCAAATGCTACAGTACAGAAATATCCTGACCATGTTCCCACGCTCTTGCATGTCTTAAATGACTGTAAAGGAGCCATAGACTAACAGAGGATTCTTCGTGCTCAAGAGTAATCCTGGTATCATTAGCAGCAGTGACTTTACGTTCTAACAGGCACATGGCAGAGAATGAGTAACCGAATCCTATAAACACCAGGTTTAATTCATTCTTTTTCATTATTAACTGAGCCTGATATAGAAAGGTGCTTTTAAAATAAGAGATCTTAAAAGAACATTTGCTATCAGAGGAAAGGTTAGTTCCTTTTTAAATTACTTTTCGTGTAAGATATACCACATGTGGTCCTGCAGTCCAGGCAGAACTATCACAAGTTACAGTAAATTCAAAATTATAAAATAAGAAAGCATACAAAAAAGAAATTAAATAGCAACATGCACTTTTTATTCCTCCTATAAATCACTTCCAACTAAGGTGTTAAATAAGAGCTTCCTTGGGAAACAAAGGAGTGGAACGTTAACTACCTAATTTTAAAATCTTCTAGTCTTAGATAAGATTAGGTAACAAAGAAAATGGCATTCATGACACAAAGCTGGGATTTAGTATAGGAGTGCAAAGCCTTATGTTACTTGGTTTTACAAATCACTATAAACACACAGTTATAATCTTAGGTATCAATCCCTCTTCCAGTGCCATCTCTAATGGTGACAGGTTTTTTCTAATGTAGAAAGTTTGAGCCATTACAAGGGATATATCCTGTGCATGCTCCTGAAAGATGAGGAGATGAATTCTTACTCAAGAGTCTAACATTTATACCAAACATCCTGGACTCCTAGAATCCTGTTTGAACTTCTCTTTCCCATTATTTTCCATTGAAAAAAATGGGAAGCAAAGGACCTAAGACCTTGTTAAATTTGGACAGTAATATCTAGGATTTGTAGAAACTGCAGCTGATGTCTAGAACACAAAAAGTCTACAAAAGGCAGTTCCAGAATTAAATGACACTTGGGTTTCACAACTGGAACAGAAAATTAAGAGGTTAACAGATTCAGAAGTGAACTAAGTCCTAGAACTAAGTTGAAGAATGTTTTATTTTTAAGATGGGGAATTGCATCATTTTTCACGGGTCTCAGGTAAATGTCAGTACCACAAACCAGAGCAGACCTTCATAGTCACCAACTCACAGAGCTGCAGCTTGCTATTTCTCCACCCATATGTGTATCCGTATTCACCTACAAGCCTTGCTCACTCCTTCCATCCAAAAAAATGTGCACAAGATGCATAGCGTTAATTCTTCAGACTGTTTTAAAAACCCTCAGCAGCAACAAGAAACACACAGCAGCCATTCCTTCAAACACTGTACCTTTCTTTAGGTAAAATATTCTGTGCAATACAAAGAAGAAATTGATATTTAGAAGTAGCCAATTCCATATTTCTAAGAATTAACCACACCATTTGCTACAATTTTTCTCACTCTAATTTAGGTTCCAGAGTCGGGATAATCTAAAATAATTCATGAATTATTACAATTCAGCCATACACTGAGAAGGAAGATGATACTGAAACAGTTCCCCTGTATCTGAGCACTGAAATAGTAATTGCTTATTACTAAATAGATTTATTTTGACTTCTCTTTAAGACCATGTTTTGAGAGTGTTTAATGAGTAGACTGACAAGAAGTTAGGAAAGATTGGTTTTCAGATGTACATCGAAACAGATATAGATGGCAGACTTTTATTCTGTAAAAATATACTAATATAATAAATAAGATACGTATACATAACATCTATATCTGTACATGTGCACACTAAAAAGCATATTTATAGTTTGGGTGTATATGCTTGGTTGCCTTCTTCAGTCTTTTTATATTACTCACATAATTTCCAGTAACTTAAGACTAATACACCTGCTTTTATACAGCACATAGAAAATAGGACCTTGATCAAACATGTTCAGTCATTAAGTGCTACCCCAATGTAAAGACTTTCTAACACAGTTTTGTAGTAATATGAAACCACAACCAATCGTACAAACCATGCAATCACTTTCCTGAGACTTCTGCTCTTAAAAAGAGTTCTACAATTTTCTTTTCTTCAACATTATATAATATTGCTTTCTTTCTTTTCACTCACTCCCAAATTAAAAAGTAAAAATTAGATTTGTACAAAGTCACAGATTTACCTGATTATACCTCACAATGCTTACAATATGGCAGAAAAACAAACATTTAATATTTAAAGCTCATTCTCCTGGAAAACAAATACAAATACAAGAAATTGCATTTCCACTACAAAACACAGAAACACCTGGATAAAAATGTTTTATATATCATCTTGTCTCAGTCAGTATCATTTTCTCCTCTGGAAATAGAAGAAACAAACTGAACAACCATTTTTTAAAAAAAGTCTGAGCATCACTATATTTTAAATATATAAAGGTTGAATATTTTTCAAAGTGCATTTCCTTGTGTTACAAAAATGCAAAACCATATTGCTAAATATTATAGTTCAGTTTCAATTATATGATGGCATACACAGATGGCAGCTTATTTGCTCTAAGTCCACGCTGCGAGAGTGCAGGGTTCTACTTTTTGATGAAAAAATCAGCACTAATGAATAGCTGAAAAACATAATTGAGTGTGGAATACCGGAGCTATTCACTGCTGGAGAAATGAGAAAGGACTTACTACTTCTACAGAGATCACTTTTAGACTGGCCTTTTTATTCTAAGGAATGAAGCCATCTATCTACATCTTGAATGATAAATTCTCTACTTGTAAAAGGCTTCATTTATCACAAACAATGAAAAAAATACAGAAGGAAAAAATCAATACGTGTAGCAGTTTAGTCCAGCAAAGGCCTTTCTTAAAGAGAAACCTCAGTCAAGGTTGAAAGAGCAATTAATAGAGTCTCAAAAATCTGGGCCACTCTGATA